CCAGGCAACCTACAGAAGTCCCAGGAAACATATGGAATTGAGTATCCTAAGCCAAAAGGGCCTGGCTTCAGCCAGTATTTCAAATCTGGCTGTGTGGTTCCAGGCAAGTAGGTGAAATGAGGGCAGGGAAACTTTTATACTGTGGTGTGTGGTTTCTGGAAAGCCCAGAGTGGAATGTTTGCTCAGGGTGACCTATTTGGAATCACACCAGCAACTTTTGAAATGCTGCGTTCTGGATTTCAGTCAGTCACACATTTAAATCCAAGTCTCAGGGAGGAGCAAGGGCACAAAGGAAGAATTGCTTGTTCATAGCAGGAAGTTACCTTTCATGAGCCAAAACTGCTTCTGAGGACCCCTTAAAAGCAAGAGTATGCATCACACCTTTGAAAAGCATTTGGCCAGTCTCTCCCCCTCCCCCTCTCTTTCTTTCTCTCCCTCCTTCCTTCATTTTTTCTTTATTTTGTGTCATACTAGCACTTGAACTCAGGGCCTAGGCACTATCCCTTAGCTTTTCCCTGTCAAGGCTGACACTCTACCACTTAAACCACAGCCCCACTTCCAGCTTTTTGGTGGTGAACTGGAAAGTCCCATGGACTTTTCTGCCTGGGCTAACTGTGAGCTGAGATCCTTACATCTTTTCCTCCTGAGTAGCTAGAATACAGGCATGAGCCCCCAGAAACTGGTCATTTGGCTAGTTTCTTTCCAGTTGCAGTAAAAAAAAAATAGGGATATGTCACTTGTGTGTTAAGGGGAGGGGTGTTGAAGGCCTCCTGGCCCACATTTAAGTGGAAAAGTAAAAAGAATCTCTCCTCCTTAAAAATATCTGTTACAAGAGTGCTTGCCTGGGAAGTACAAAGCCCAGAGTTCAATCCCTAGCACTGAAAACAATAATCTGTTACAGGACATATGTAGGTCTATCTCAAGTATATTCTGGAAGTAGTCAATATGCCACTATTATTAATCAAGTGTGTGTCAGCTCTTCCCAGAAGAGGGCTAGACAGGTGGCACCTATCCTAGGCCATCCCAAGAGCAGGGCAAAAACTGTCAAGTGAACACTTCTCAGAAAGACTACTTCCTGGCCTACTTCCTGATACTTCTTTATTCCCCCCCAACTTCTCTCTCCCCTCCCTCCTTTTCCTCTCTGCCTTCTTCCACTCCATCTTCCCCTCTCCCCAAGGTCTGGGGGTGGAATCCAGGACCTTGCCTGGCATAGTGAACTACTCTTTATGTTTATTAAAAATCTAGGCTAGAGCCACAAAGTCCTATCTTCCCTTCCTTGCTCTTGGGGGTAAGGCTGATACAATCCTAAGGAGTGAAAAAGATTCCATGGCATTGGAGTGGGGGAAAAGTTCCATTTTAATCAAGTATTGGGGAAGAGTTGTGATAGTTACACTGACAGTGGGAACTGGAGTTTGTGTGTGTGTGGGGAGGGTGGTGGATGGGACATTGTCCCTCAGTGAATCTGGACACTTGTTTCTTCAGCAAGGGCAAAGGTGCTTTACACCCTCCCTTTCCCAGATTCCTGCTAACTAGGCCCGTTCATAATGGATTCATGTCAACGAGGCTCATTCCTGCTGGAGGAATTCCTGGAAGTTTTCTAGGTTACCTGGCAAGAAGACAGGTGCCTCATTTGTGGAATTTAAGGGTCACCAAAAGACCTGTCTGGCTCAATCTCACTCTCTTTCTTCCCTGCCCTGGGCCTACATACTTAATTACTTATTTCTTCTCTGGTTTTGTTTCTTCTTCCCCCTCCTCCTTTTTTCTCTTTCTCTCTCTCTTCCTCGGGTGTTGGGGATGGAATATAGGACTCTGTGGTACATAGTAGGCCAGTACTCTACTAGTGAGCTAGAACTTCAGTCTTATGTTTTCAATTGACATATGAGAACTGTACATATCAATTAGGAGCCATGTGACATTTGGATACCTGCATAAATATATAATGTTCATATTGGGCTAAGCATAACTATCTCCTCGAGAATTCATCTTATTTTTGTGGTGAGAAAACATTCAAGATCCCTCTAATATTTTGAAATAGGCACACATTATGGTTCTCTGTAGTTCTTCCCATCGGAGTGTAATAAGCTCACCCATTTCACTTGAGTTTATTTGCTTCAGGGCCAGAGGGCTCCACATTTACATTTGAGGACTCTTGTCTAACTTACAGCAGGCTCTGAGGAGACATGACATTCTTATTTTTCAATTTTCTACTTTCAATGTTTCATGTTATAACAGAAACAACCTAAAAAGAGAGTCACACATAATTTCCACACACTCTTTCAAGCAAACAAACAGCCTCAGCTTGAAGTGTTAAAAAAATCCCAGGTATTCAGAATGAAGCCTGCCTATTTCCTTGAAATCTTCTAAGTGTGATAAAAAAAACAGGATGCTTCCAAGTGATATTTGTCAGCTTCTTAATGAGCGTTGTGTAAATGTAAATCCACAAAGGATACAACAGCTTCTTACTAGCCAACAACAGGTTCTTTTAATTATGTGCACTGTTGTCATGGGGATGGGTGGGCGTTGCATCCCATAATTTCCAGCTTGAAATCTAGGGTGCCTCTCCCCTCTGTTCTGTGCAAGTGGCTGCTTAGGATGCCCTGCTATTCTAGCACCTAGCATTATGGCCAAAACACACAAACAATTTTAATTGCTATGATAAAACACAAATAGTATGAAGTTTACTCTCTTTTTCCCTTCAGTGCTGGGGACTGAACCTCTAGATCTTTGCACAGTTGCATCCAACCACTGAGCTCACTGAGTCTCAGACCCATCCTGAACTGAAATTCTACCCATCCAACAGCTCCTTATTTCTCCCTCCTCCAATCTTAGGCAAGTCTACTTCTGTTTCTATGAATTTAACTACATTAGATGTATCATAATAAATAGCACAATCATATATTTGCCCTTTGGTGACTGGCTTATTTCACTTAGCATGATGTTCTTCAAAACTCTTCCAGCTGTAGCATATGTCAGAATTTTCTTCTTTTTTAAGGCTGAATATTCCATTGTAATGATATGCTCGTTTCTTTATCCAGTATTTACTCAGCAATGGACCAAGCAGCCCAGAGGCTGCTTCTACTTCTTGTCTATTGCAAACAATGCTTCCCCAAACCTACATGCACAAATATCTTTTCAAGTCCCTGCTGATATTTTTGGAAAAATCCTCAGAAGTGGAACTACTGGATCATATGGTAGGTCTATGTTTAATTATTTGAGAACCGCCCCCATACATATCTCAAGCAAATTCTGACCTACTACTTACATTAACTCAATGATAAAGCGGTCTAGAACCTCTACCACTGAAGTCCCCACAAAATGGCATGTGGTGTCACATTGGTTCAAGTCCATGACTCTGAGCCAGAATTCCACAGTCCTTTCCAGCTGCCCATTTCTGGGCCTCAGATCTCCTGAACTGGGATTTCTAGGGGAAGACTTGTGAACCTGCATCAAAAATGGTTGCCTCACCCTAAGAATCTGCACTGGGGTTGGCATCGTGTTGGGTTTTCTACAAGGCACCTCTTAGGTCTGGTTCTCTAACTAGGTAGCCTAACAGCTACCATTTACTTCTGTGTGTATTCACTTAACATTGTCTCTTGGAGTTTGGGCAAGCTTTTCAGATGAGTTGGATTAGACATGGTCAGGCCTTGATTTCATCTGCTTTACTCAGATTTAGGGGCTCACTTGGGAGAGTAATCTGCTGCCACTTCTAATCATTCATCCAGCTGGAGCCTTGGATGTGCTGGTCCTCTGAAGGCTTCCAAGGCACTGGGGGAGCCCACAAAAACCCTGGACACTGGGCCTGAAAAGTGTTCTGGCAGCATCACTGTGTTGACTATCTAGAATACACATATTTATGCAAATGACATGCACCGGAGGATCGTTGGAGCTTGAAGGAACCATTCTGGTTAGCCTCAGCCTTGGGACTTGGCTGGGACTAACTTGCCTGGGCTAAGAGGACCACATGGAGGCAGAGTTACACAGAAGTAATAAAAGTGGCAGAAGTCAGTGCTGTCTTCATCTCACCATGCCTCTACTTTCCACCTGCCCTTCCCTCATTTCTACAGCTCATCTTCCTGTTTCTGTCTTTCTTTGGTGTTTTTCTTTTCTCCATTGCCTGTCAACATCATTGTCTATTTTTTCAAAGCTGTTTGTTTTGAGTTTTGAGGATGCCAGCAAATAAGATGCAAGCCTTTCCTTGCTGGGCCCATAATGGGACTGAATTTCTGGCCTCAGGCCTACATTACCATTCTGATCATGCATTTTGCATGGGTCTGAAGTATAAATGAGTACTTAAGTCAAATGAGTACTTAAGTCAGAGTTCATGTCTCTGCAGCCAGAGTTTGGACAATTAGTTATCTGGGTAATTTCAGAAACAATGACTTTACTGCCTATCTTCTCCTGATGAATAATTTATCCATTGTAGATTGCTGCCTCATGGTAAAGTAGCCCCTTCATTGAGCAGTAGTGAGCTGAGTGAGTGAGCTGATGACCCATGAACCAGAGCTATTAACGCATGCTTACAGCAGGGCTGTAAAGGGGAGATAAAAATGCAGAAAGCAAGGCTGAGAAAGCCTAGCTTACATTGTTCTTTATTAACTATAAGGTGTTTCTCACAGTACAGAATTATTTAATTAGAATCAAAATAAAGTAACAAATCACACACAATTCAGGGGGATTGTATACACAGGAACAAACAGGAGTGGGTGTGTGCTTCCTCCATAGGAGTGAGCTTTATGAGCAAAATGCCAGTATGAAAGCATACATTTTCCCCTTCTCCTCCAATGATAGAGCACTTCGATGAACAAAACGCAATTATCAAAGCACACATTCTCCCTCCTCTTCCAATGAGAGAGAGCCTTAATGAGCAATATGCAAATAGGAAAGCATGCATTCTTCCTGTTCTTCCCTCCCTCTGTCTCTCCTTTCCAGGATCCTTAGGCCTTCACATGCACGTTTGCATGATAAAAGACACTTGTAATTATGGGACAATTAAGGCTTACCATTGTTGTAAGAGCGAAAATTTCCTACAAATTTTATGTATTCATAAGTTGGAAATTCCTTTGGGTTCAAGCTGCCTCTGAGAAGATGGCAATAAAACTCCAAATCGTTGTCAGCTGGGCCGTTAAGGGAAAAGTAGAGAAAGGAAGATGAACATCACATACAGTCTAGACTACACAAATCACGTCTCTGTGAAAACTCTTTCAGGATTCAGTCCACACATAGAAGCACCTTTTTCTCATGAGTGATGGCTTCGAACCTTTGTAGCTCAGGCCTTTCTTGTTGTTCTTCATAGATATTCGGCATTCTATACTTGGACCTAATTAGTCTTAATTTGCTCACAGATGTCTGTGGTTGGTTATGTCGGGCTTGATTAGTTCTGGTTGTTTTCATACAGTATATTAAAATAAAGCTGCTCATATAGAGCCGTTCTCTTTAATTTAATCTTTTTTTTGCTTTGCTTTGAAGTAAAATCAGATGTACGACAGGACAAATTAGGCATGGAAAATGGACTGAGGCTTGAACAAATGCAAGCATCTTTGCTACCGCATGCAATCATGCATGGTTCATTAAGTGACACGTGGTTCATAAGCACCAGGGCCTTCTATCCAGGTTGCCAAATATGTCGATTAAAAACTTAAAAAGAATTCCATAAAATTACAAATGTATATAAATAACATATGACAACCTCTGGAGGACAGAATTTCAATTTCTGACCTAATAATTTAATTAGCCATTGGTTACTGGGTCTTACATAAATTTAACATTGTAAATATTCCCTGAAATAAGCAGACTGTCCACTGATTTTCATACTATTTATTAAAGACATGTAAAAAAGATCTCTTGTCATACATGCAAAATAAGCTATTATTCTTAAGTTCTTATGCTTTCAAGTTTTCCACATAAAGCCCAAATATCTTATATATTCCAAACTCCAGTTTTAGCTTTCAAATTAAAATATAGCTCAAAGGATTTTGGAACTGTTCTGAGTCATGAGGAAAATTATTCTTGAAATTTAGTCCCCCCCCCATCTTAATTCATTCTAGCCTTCTTTCAGAAGTAAAATTCTTTAGGTCTGCTAACACCAGTGAATTGAAACTTACATTTGAGGAGTTCTGGTGAGGGAGAATCCGTCATGAGCATAGGGGAAGAAAGCATTTTATAAACTTCAGAATGTTCTTGTTCTGGAAGGAAATTTAATAAATTCTGATCCATGACATCCGACTGCAAAAGAAATAAAAAGCAGAAGTGCATACTGCAGGAAAATGAACAATAAAATCAAAGGTAAAAACTGAATTTTTTTTAACAATTCAGAAGCCATTTCTGAACTGCAAAGTTTAAGATTTGGTTTCCTGGGAAGACTTTCAATCTGAATTGTAACTTAAAAGGTTATGGGAACTGGAGGTGTGGCTCAGTGGTATAGCAAGCACTTGCCTAGCATACATGAGGCTCTGGGTTCAATCCTAGGCACTGAAAAAGAAGGAAGGAAAGAAGATAGAGAGAAGAAAGGGAGGAAAAGAGGAAGAGAGAAGAAGGATCTAGTGTGGTGATGTATGTCTGTAATCCAGCTACTTTGGAAGCAGAGGTAGGAAGATCACAACCTTAGACTTACCTAAGGCAAAAACATGAGATCTATCTGAAAAATAAACTCAAAAACAAAGTACTGAGGAAGGGACTTAAGTGGCGTTCTCACCCTGAATTCAATCCCCAATCTTCAAAAAGAAGGAAAGATTAGACATGCATATAATAAAACAAAAAGTTTGCAATTATTATTTGATATCTTCAGGAGATTGTTTTCAGGACCAACTATGAATATTCAATTCCATGGATGCTCAAGTCTACTAAGTAAAATGCCATAATATTTGCATATAACTGATGGATATCCTCCTATACAATTTGAATCATCTCTAGACAACATATTTAATGAAATATAATTGTTTTAAAATAGTTGCTATACTGTATCAGAAAAAAGGATCTGTACATGTTTAGTACACATGCATGTATATTCAAGTACTGTCAACCTGTGGCTGGTTGAATCCTTGGATGTGGAACTTATGTGTGGGTGTGGAGAGTCCTCTGTAGTTGATCAAATGCACCTGTGCTATTGCCCAGGGTTCTGGAAAGAACAAAGCATGAAGTCTGCTCCTACTGGAGGAGACCTGTTTTGCTAACTCTATTGCCTTCTGGCTGGAGGAGTTCTACTTAGACACCCCCAAAGACTGCATGGGGTTCCTTTCTGAACATTCAGACCAGCAAAAGGCTGCCTGTTATTTCTCAGTAACCTCTAATTGCTGGAGACGTACTGTTTTCAAGTACCCGGATGGTGGGCTACAGAAAAAATAATAGCTAGAGTCTAGATACCGTCCTGTTCCATCAAACCATGTGATGAGAAAAAAAGGCCTGAAATCTGAATCTGCATTGTCCACATGGTTTCTGAGCACTTGGGATGTTGGCCAGTGTGTTGAGGTTCTGAATTTTGTTTTGTTTTGCTTTGGTTTTTGTGATGGACTGTGGCTTGGACTGAGGGACTAGGTGCTGTCCCTTGGATTTTTTTTTTGTTGTTGTTGTTGTTCCTGACTGGTGCTCTACTACTTGAGCTACAGCTCAAATTTGAAGTTTGAATTTCCATCAACTCCTATGCTCAACCTCCTTCAGTCAGATACCCCCAGACACCCGTCCCATGGCTCCCCAGGGCCTGCCCCATCTTCTCTGCAGTTTGGGTTCTCATCTCAACCACTGGGTTTTCATCTCTGCCATTGCCAGATGGCACCGAGAGTCATTTCCCCATACCACACACCCAGGTGATACCTTGGCTCCTCCCTTTTTCACCTTCACCTCCTCCGTTACTCAATGTCCACACGCTTCCTGATCTTCCTCCTTCCACTTGTCTCTGTTCCATTCCCTTCTTTAAAAAATATTTTTTTGAGCCAGGTATGGGTGGCTCATGCCTGGAATCCTAGCTACTCAGGAGGCTGAGATCTGAAGATCACGGTTTAAAGCCAGCCCGGGCAGGAAAGTCCATGAGACTCTTATATCCAATAAAAACCACTAGAAAACCAGAAGTGGCACTGTGGCTCAAGTGGTAGAGCGCGTGCCTTTGAGCTGAAGAGCTGAGGGGCAGTGTTCAGGCCCAGAGTTCAAGCCCCATGACCGACAAAAAAATATTTTTTGAGACAATACATTCCAGGTTAGCCTTGAACTCTTGATCTTCCTCCCACAGCCTCCACAGTGCTACAACTACAAGTGTGCATCCCTATACCCAGGTTCTCTACTCTTTTGTGTTTCTGATTTCTACTCCTGTCCAAATTCCCTTAATCTCTTGCCTGGAAGATGATTTGACAAAGCGGTCTTTACCTCCATTATGTTCCCTATCTAATTTAGCTGTCCCCTGCAGCCCGAAGAATACACAGATCATATCAGGGCATTACTTCATATAGAACTGTCCCTTGGCCTCCCACTGCTTGGGAGACAAATGCTAAACTTTGGACATACTTTTCAGGCTGTGCATATCACATCCCCTACCCATTCACTGTTCACAACCTTCCATACCCTCCCTCCCTTTGTGTTCACTGAGATGGTTGACACCCTGGCTGTGTTCTCCCCGAGCTGAGTTATCCACAAATGCAAGGTGAGGAGGTGAGAGGATTACATGAGATTGTTGGTCTGCCTTGACGATAAAACAGCACAGAGCCAACATTCAATAACTGATGAGTTACCTGTACTGCATGAAGCAACTCCACGGCAGTGTCACTTTCTTGCTCATGTAACACATTTACCGGTGTCCTCCCCTTCCTCCCTTCCTCCCATGGGAGCTCCCTTCTGTGTTCCTAACCTGCATAATGGCACTTGGCCTTCCATAACAATGCCTGTGGACTAGCTGCATGAGTGGTGTGGACACTCACCAGGAGAGAAGCAAAAATCAACATGCCCAGAGGACACTAAGGACAGCGCGCTGGCTCTCAGATGAGGGGTGGTGTCAGGGGGCTCCCAGGGAAGAGCCCCACAGGGAGGATCTGGGGACAAGAGGAGCTCCAGGTAGAGCTCACAGCGCTATCGGAGCCATTAAGCAGGGCTAGGCCAATGGGGTAGGGCTAGGCAACCCGGGAAGCAGGACCCAAGGTTACAGAGACTTGGCTTAAGGAGTCCACGCAGCAGAGGGCACTGAGGGACTTCAGACAGCCAGGAGCAGTGCAGCAGCCAGCCCACGACTTAACATGGGTTGACTTAGGGTTTCCTGACTTTACGATAGTACAAAAGACATCCATATTCAGTAGGAATGACACTTAGAAATGTTCTGTTTTCCTGGGCTAGTGATGTAGTCTAACCATGGGAGGTGGCAGCAGCAGCCGGGGGCTGCAGCTCCCAGTCAGCTCATGAGCAGACACAGCACTGCAGTACGCTGTGCTGGTGGACTCGGTTGCATAGTTTAGGTGCAGCCAGAACATTTTCAATGTACAATACAGCTTGCCCTGTGTTTATCAACACGGGCTAGCCTGATGGTAAGTTGAGGAGCATCTGTACTTATATTTTAAAGAGGTCCTGCTCATGATTTAAAGGAACGGGGCACCCGAAGTCAGGCTAGTGCTGTCCAGAGTGTGAAGGGAGACAGGATGGGGAGGAGGAACAGAGTGCAAAGGCATGCATTCACTATCAAAGCTGCAACCAATATTACTGAGGGGTGCTAGGTGCCAGGCTCTGGGCAAGGGAAGAAACACACAGAAGAGGCAAAGGAGTCAGTGCTGTAGGGGTTTGAGGATGGTGGACCCAGCTTAGTGGCTGACTGGAAAACAGGAGGGGAGGAGGGGAGAAAGGAAGAACTTGGAATGGCTGTGGTTGGAAGCATTATATGTATGTGTGTATCCTTGTATGTATGTATGTATGTACGTATGTATGTATCTCTATCTGCCCACCTACCTGCCTATCTATACTGTGTGTGTGTGTGTGTGTGTGTATATATATATATATATATATATATGCACACACATATACACACATACATACATAGTCCTGGGGCTTGAAATCAGGGCTTGGGCATTATCCCTTAGTTTTTTTGCTCAAGGCTGGCTTGTGCTACAGCTCTACTTCTGCTCTTTTGGTGACTGGTTGGAGATGAGAGTCTCGCAGATTTTTCTGTTCAGTCTGGCTTTGAGGTGCTACCCTTAGATCTCAGCCTCCTGAGTAGCTAGTATTACAAGCGTGAGCCACCAGTGCCCGGCTGGAGGCAGCGATTTTTACTTATATGAACAGACTATCACAGACATCCTCACCAGCTCATGTTATCATTTCTCAGTTTGGCTTTCTCCACCTGTTTTCCAATGCTCATGGTTTTATTTTAATCTCATTCCCTTTAGCTTCTTCAGCAGATGACTCATGTTCACAGACAACAGTAGCCTTTCTTCATAAAGATATTTCAGACACATGAAAAACATCTCTAAGTCCCTGTATGGGGTTTTCTCAGAGGGCCCCTTCAGAAGCTGCTTCCCTAAGATTGTGTGGCAGAGGGTAGGGTGAAGGGCTTCCTGGCCTAGGTGAGCATATGGAAGGGCAAGGGCAGGCTGGAGGGTGGTGGAACACCTCAGTGTCTACACAAAGTAAAGATGAACAAAGGGAGGTGGGAAAAGGTGTGTTGCTGGGGAGATTGGTAGGAATGTGGGTTAATACTCTCACAGGGCTCAGAACTATGCTTGGCTCTTACCTGGATTTGCCAGTATATTACTATCATGCAATTTCCACATGCTATCAAAAGGTGATAATCTGATCATTTAAACACTAACATGGATAGAAGGTAAATTCCATCTGCAACTGAACTCTTCCTTGAATGAGCTGCACTCTGTTGATTAAAATAGTAGCAATTACGGATAAAGAGGAGGGAAAACACCATGTATAGCTACTATCATTGCTAAGTCCCATGGTCAAGAGCCAGTCCTTACCTGTGGGAGGCAGGCCTTCTCTTGCTGGCTGGCCCTAGGCTGTGTTATGTCAGAACTACTCCTGTTCTGAGCTTTCCTGCCCTGAGTTCCTCAACTCACCTTTCCCAGGTTTCCCCACTAGAAAAGCTGTAGACTCAGGCCACTTCTGGCCCTTCAACTAGTAGCACAGGCTCAACTCTGCTGCTCAAAGTGAAACAGGCCTGTACCAAAAGCACAGGAGCCAACTGGCAGGAATCGAAGTGGGCTGGGTGGATGTTCAGTCCCTAAATGTCCTTGAGGGACCCCAGCAGTTCT